GGGCACCACGGTTGTGTCCTCTAGGGGTGTGCAGGGACCATGTGCCCTCGCTGACATTACTAGGACAGCAGAACCAAGGCACTTAGTGATGCTGCTTGTGCAGCTAATGGTGTTTGGGGCTGTTGGTGACTGGGCCAGCAGAAGACCCCTTCACCAGCATGCATCATGTTCCCACATCCTCAGGGCTCTGCCAGCACAGCAATGGTAGCAGCAGCTGTGTCATGTGGACAAGCCCCCAGGACCTGGAAAAGGGGCAGTGCCCTCCCAAGGGGAACTGGGAAGATGGAGCAGGCCCCAAAACTGGCACTGCCCCCGAGAGGCAAATCCTCATGTTCCCCATCCCCACGCTCCCCATCCCTGCTTCCTCCTACAGGCTGAATTTGGAGGCCACAATCCTGAAAGAGATGCCAATCTGGCTGCTCCTCATGGGACTCAAGAGAGTGAAATATGCTCTGCCCTCATACACATGTGACAGTCCTGGATGCCCTGAGCCTCTGCACGCATGCATAACTCACAGGTGTGTCAGGGACTTCAGCCCCCGGAAGGTGAACTTGGACAGCGAGCGGATGTCGTTGTTCTCGATGAACCTGCCGGGACAGACGGAGCCATGGGTCACACCCGCGAGGCCTGTGCCACTGGGTACTCATAGCCCCAGGGGGCCTGAATGCCTCCCTACCCCATCCTGGATGGTGCAGAACGCCCAACGTTTGCAAGGCACAGGGAGCTTGCAAGGGCTGGATTGCCACACCCATGGGCTCACTCCACAGGGCTTGCAAGAAGCACTGAGAACTCACTAGGGCCTGCACCCCCTTCCCCACCCTCACAAGGCTTGCATCCCCCCTGCACTCCTATTGTCCCCCCAAAAAGGTCCAACTCCTTCCCTGCCAGCTCCTTCTACCCCCAGCCCTCCTTCCTGCCATGCCAGCTGACTGCAGGGGAAACACGTACAGGTACTGCAGGTGCGAAAGGCCGGTGAAAGCATTGTCCCCAATCAGCGTGAACTTGTTGGAGTTCAGCAAGCTGCAAAGAGCAGGCAAGAGGTTAGTGCTGGGGATTTGGGGGGTGGGCTGAGACAGGGGTGCCAGACCAAGAGGAACCCCTCCTGTTGCTGGGTGCTGCCCTGAGGATGCTGGCTGCTCTCAGCCCTGCAGCAATGCAGACTGGCGCCTTGGCTGGGATCTGGGGCTGCTCCTTAGACACAGCAGTACCCACCGGTGGCACAGAGGAATCCTTACTGTTCAATAGCCCTGGGAGGACATGGAGTAGGGTGCTGGGGGCACAGGAGCTCTCACCCAGGGATTTGCCCTGGGCCAAGGTGGTGGAGGGCAACTCCTCCACACCACAAGCATATCAGGGACCCAGGGACCACAGGCCACAGAGCCCTGAACTTCAGTGGAGCTCAAATACTCCATCTCCATGGCTTCCTGGCTAGAAACCCTTCCTAGCTTGTGCTGCACTGCCAGCAGTTTGGGGAAGGGCCCCAAGCCTTCCTCCCCTGCAGAAAGCCAGTTGGGGTGACAAGCCCCAGCCCACTGGACTGGGAGGGCCGCGCTGCTGGAGACGGAGAGACATACAGGAACTGCAGGAGCGGGATGTGGGCAAAGGCTGCTTCGGGGACCTCCGTGAAAGCCGCGTTCACCATGGTCCTGTGGAGAGAGAACCTCAGGGTCATTCCCGGAGGGGCACTAGAAGTGCTCACATGCACCTGTGCCCCGGGTGCCTGACAGGCAGACAGCTATATACAAAGTCAGGAGAGAGAAAGCCGGAGTGTGTGAACAGGAGCCGCTTAGTGAACCGGGGTGCTTGCATTGACCTGACAGGATTTTTTCATTTGAGTTTGAACTTTTCTGAGACCTCAAGCATCCTCCTGGGAGCAGGACACTGCTCCCTGTCTGCATAAGCATCGCCCAGCCCCTCACCCAGCCTGATGTTCCTCCAGGCTGGCTGGGAGCTCTGACTACCCCAGCCTGGGGTCTGAGGGCTGCTGTTCCCTGTAGTCTCCTGCTCTCCTTGGCATTACAGAGGGATTGGTCTGGGAACTTGGCACAGGCCAACCCACAGCTGAAGGGCTGCAGCTGCACTGCATTTTCTGGTGGCAGAGGTATATTTAAAGAGCTCTCTGCTTCTGCCTCTGCTGTGATTACAGCCATCAGGGCTGGGGCAAAGGGGAGCTCTGGAACCACTTAACTAATCAATAGCCTGCCTGCCCCCCATTGCAGAGAGCTACTGTGCTCTGGCACCTGGACAACCAGCCAGAGCACTGGAAACAAACAGACAGTGATGGGAAATGAGGGTGGGGTGTGATGCCAGTGTCCATGAGCTGCTGATGCAGTGCAAGCCCTAGCAGGGATTCATAGATTCATAGATTCATAGATGTTAGGGTCAGAAGGGACCTCAATAGATCATCGAGTCCGACCCCCTGCATAGGCAGGAAAGAGGGCTGGGTTCAGATGACCCCAGCTAGATGCCTATCTAACCTCCTCTTGAAGACCCCCAGGGTAGGGGAGAGCACCACGTCCCTTGGGAGCCCATTCCAGACCTTGGCCACTCGAACTGTGAAGAAGCTCTTCCTAATGTCCAATCTAAATCTGCTCTCTGCTAGCTTGTGGCCATTATTTCTTGTAACCCCCGCGGGCGCCTTGGTGAATAAATCCTCCCCAATTCCCTTCTGTGCCCCCGTGATGAACTTATAGGCAGCCACAAGGTCGCCTCTCAACCTTCTCTTGCAGAGGCTGAATAGATCCAGTTTCTGTAGTCTCTCCTCGTAGGGCTTGGTCTGTAGGCCCTTACCCATAAGAGTGGCCCTTCTCTGAACCCTCTCCAGGTTATCTGCATCCCTCTTGAAGTGCGGCGCCCAGAATTGCACGCAGTACTCCAACTGCGGTCTGACCAGCGCCCGATAGAGGGGAAGTATCACCTTCTTGGACCTATTCGTCATGCATCTGCTGATGCACGATAAAGTGCCATTGGCTTTTCTGATGGCTTCGTCACACTGCCGACTCATGTTCATCGTGGAGTCCACTAGGACTCCAAGATCCCTTTCCACTTCCGTGCCACCCAGCAGGTCATTCCCTAGGCTGTAGGTGTGCCGGACATTTTTCCTCCTTAGGTGCAGCACTTTGCATTTCTCCTTGTTGAACTGCATTCTGTTGTTTTCTGCCCGTTTGTCCAACCTGTCCAGGTCTGCTTGTAGTTGTTCCCTGCCCTCCGGCATGTCCACTTCTCCCCATAACTTTGTGTCATCTGCAAACTTGGACAGAGTACATTTCACTTCCTCGTCCAAGTCACTGATGAAGACATTAAAGAGTATCAGTCCAAGGACCGAACCCTGTGGGACCCCACTCCCCACTGTCTCTAGGCTCCCCATCCTGGGCCCAGCAAGGGGCATCACAGAGCTGGTGGCTTGGCCCACCCATGAGCATCCCAAGCCATTCAAAAGCTTTCAGAGGGGAGTGCCACCTGGTATGCCCTGCACCCACACACATGTCCGGCCACTGGGATCTGGGCAGGATGGGGGTCAAGGTGAGAAGGACCCCGGAGTGGCAGGACTCAGGAGCACTTCAGGGCTCCTGGTCCCACGAGAGCGACGTGAGCCCTAGCACAGGGCAGAGCACTCCACCTCTGCTACTGAGGGCCCCTGTACACACATTGGACATGCCACATACACTCACCCCCATGATAAAACAGATGGGGACATTGGACCTGCGTGCACTATGAACGCACCAGCACAGTCACCAAATGCACGCAGCAGGCAAAACCCAACTCACAGTCACCAGCCAGCCTGCAGACAGGCCCAAAAGCCCAACACAAGTACATGCCTCCTTCCACACACACACACACAACTTCAGAGCCCCTCAGGCTGCAATCTTAAAAGGCCAAGCTTCAGCATCTTGCTTCCTAAATTACATTAGGTTAGAGTCCATGGGGTGAGCTAATATTTATGCTCAGGTCAGGAGATATCACTAGGCAAAGGTTGGTGCACATGTACATGCACATGCACGCACACAGGGATTGCTAGGGCAGCAAGAATCAGAAGTGTATTGCAAGGTTTTGTGTCTATTGTAGTAACTAGACCAGTGACAGGAACCCTCTGCCTGTTTTCTGCATTGAAAAGTGTCCCCTGAGATGGCAACACATTAGGGAAAGTGTGTCCTGGTAGCATGTACACACACACACACACACACACACACACACACACACACACACACACACACACACACACACACACTCTAATACTTTACAAGGACAGATGCACAGATACTAATTTCCTAACTTAGATGTTGTTCACTCACATCTTCATGCTTACATGCATGCACACACACACGCACACATATGCACATAACATGCTTAGACAACATGCATGCCCTGCATATATGCACAGATCCTGTGTGCTCTCAAGAGTCACATGGATGTTGTGCACATACACACAGCTGCACACATGCACACGCTGAGACGCACACAGCCCCTTCAAATGACCAAAGAGAAATGCGTGCACACACGCACGTGCACACACACACCTTGCACTAAGACGCCTGGTGTGGTCACGGAGAGATGCTCCTGTTCACACACACAGAGTTCTTTTGGACACAAACAAGCCCCTATGTCCTGCCCACGTGAGGCACACACTGCGTGCTGCCCACACAGAGGGTCATCCCCAAGCGAAGCCCCAACAACCCCATCCCGACGTCACCCCAAGCAGCAGAGACCCTACAGTGGCATCCAGGGCCCTCAGCTTTTTTATCTCAAGTTCAATCCAGCCCACCCCATGGCTCTCAGCCCCCAACCCAGAGATCCCCCGCTGTGCCCAACCCTGTCCCCCAACCCAGCGCTCAGCCCCAGTGATACTCACAGGGAAATGACCTCGGGGGGCAGATTGCGAGGCACTGCCTTGGAGTCCACACAGAAGGCGGTGTCGCGGGTGCAGGAGCAGCTCCGGGGGCAGGGGGGTAGCTTGGGCCCCCTTTTAGCCCCCACAGGCAGCCCAAGACAGGCCAAGCCAAGGAGTAGAAGGGCAAGGATTTGCCCCCTTGGCACCACTTTCCCTATCTGCAGCTCAGCCATTGCCCTGGAGCAGCCTTCCTCCCCTCCAGAAGAAGGCTCCCCCCTTGGGCTGGGGCTCCTGCTCCCCGCAAACCTGCTGTGTAATCCTCCCCACCTCTCCGGGCTCTGCTCCTCAGCCCAGCAGCTGCAGTGTGCAGGCTTTCTGTGCCTCCCTCCCTTCCTCCCTCCCTCCTGCTGAGCCTGAGCCCTCCGAGTGACTTTAATATTCAGCTGAAGCAATCCTGGCAGGAAGGATGCCACAGTCCATCATGCTGCTCTGCAGAGCACCACACTCGACTACTGGAGGAGCGGGGTGGGAGGGGGATGGAAGATATCCGCTGCTGGATGATTCGTCCAAGTGATCTCACTGCTAAGGGCTCCTATCTGGTTCATGGGAGACTGTGTGTGTGCCCATACACATGCACACATGTGCAATAGTGAACATGCATAGGTGTGTGGAAACTCCAGGCAACTAAATGTATGTGGATGTATGTACATGCAGTGTGCAGCCATATGTCTGTGTCTGTGTCTGTGTCTGTGTCTGTATGTGTGCAGACTTCACACAATCACATGCCTGCAGGTATTAGGGTCTTGTATATATTCTGGGCAAAGACATGTGCAGGTGGGAGCGTGTGGACATATTACGTACGCGTGCATATAGCAGGCAACAATGTACATGTGTGTGCACACATAAAGCATACAACAGTGCATGAGCAGGTGTGTTGTGTATGTATTCTGTACAATAACGCACATGCCAGGAGGAATGTGTGTACATAATGCATGGGCTCCTGTGCAGACAGGCATCATGGTGCTTGTGTACTGGACAGACCTGTGCTTGGGTCTCCACGTGCCAATTCTGCATACTGGAATGCACACATGCATGCGTGTGAGTGTGACAACACTTGTGCAGGTTGTGTGTATATGTAAGGCACAGGCAGTGTGGATGGCACGCAATGTATGAGCCTGAGTGCAAGGCTGTGCGTGCATGTGAGCATGAGCATGAGCTGCAGAGGGCTGGGTTCCTGAGGGCTGGGGAGTTGATGTGCGACTGCCTGGCTAGTATGTGCACAGGCTGCCTATGCCCCAGATATGCGTGCATGAACACCGATGCACATACATGTGTTTGAGATCATTGCAGGGGAGTTTGCATCTGCTTGACACAAGAGTTGTAGCCTGGCCTGAGCCCCCAGCCTGATTCTTTCACACCCCTCTGGGTACTGGGGTCTGCAGTGCCCTACCAAGAGCCCCAGTCTTCCCCTTTGCCCCCTGCATCCTAACTGTCCCACCCCCATCCTATCTGACCTGTCCCTGGAGAGCCATACTGGAGCTGCTCCTGGCTAATTTATGAGTCAAAAACTGGGTCTCAGCTGCCGTCCCAGGCACCGCTCTCTCCCAGCCAACAATGAGTGATGGCTCTATAGAGGGCATTCTTACCCGCTGCAGCTGGGCAGCGAGGCTGAGATGCTGGCAGCAAATAAACAAGAACCACAGGGCTTAACAAAGGCAGAGCAAGGGGGGAGCAGCCGCATACCAGCCTGGGGGGTCTTCCCTTAGATCCCGGGTGGAGAGGGGAGATGGGCAGAGGGAGCTGCCAGCTAGAAGCCCCCTCAGGGCTTCACTGAAACACTGAAGTCCAGTTGATCCAGGCAGTTTCATGTGTTTGGCATGGGGCTCTGCTCTATCCAGATTTCTCCAGGGTGGGCACTTTGCAAGGAAGCAGGAAGACTGGGCACAGAACATCCTGTACTGAGCAAGGAGAATACCCCAGGCCACTGAAGGGGCTGGCACGCACCCAGAGTCTGCAAAGCCATCACAAAGACTGAAAAGTGCTGCCTGGGCTCAAACACCTAGCCTCTGCTCCGTGCAGACTCTGGGCCTTCAGGCTGAGCAGCTTACAGGTTGCAGACAGCGTGCCGCAACCACAGTCCCTCTTTGTTCCTTCCCAAGGTTCACAGGCAGCTGCAGGTGGGGTCGGAGGCAATGCAGGCAGGTGAAGGTCTGAGCAGCCTTGAGCTGGGCTACAGGCTGGCTGGCACCTAGCAGTGAGGTCAGACGTCACTTCGGGACAGCTGGCACGTTGGGAAGCGCCCAGGCCAGGCCAGTCAGCAAGCAGTGGGAACCTGAGCTTGGATCTGCACAGCCTGGAAGGCCCTTAATTTTCAGCTTTTCCTTTGAATAGCTGAAGCACCTGCAGGTGCCCAAGATGGCTGGGAGACCTGGGGTGCCGAGTCAGGCCATACTGACAGGCTGGAATACTCCAACCCCAAGGGCAGCACCAGGCTCTCAGAGTGGGTTTGCTTTGGCCCTCATATCCCTTGCAAGTACATCTTCTGGGGCAAGAAAGAGCATGGAGCCAATCGTAACGTGTACAAGTGCCCCCAGGGCCAAGAGTCCTCAGAGACTCTCAGCCAACAGGTTCCCAGGGGCTTATCTGGGAGCCGGCTCTGAAGGGCCCCGAGCAAACATAGCCTGCAAGAACTCCTGACCTGGAGCCAGAGAACCTGGAGAGTCCCAGCGCCGCTCTCTTCTCCAGCTCCTCAGCATCCGCTATATAAGCCTCTCGCCACCCACAGGCTCTCCACAAGCTGGCAGGACACTGGAAAAACTGAAGACTACAGGACAAGGGGAAAGATGGACATTAGCAGCAAGGAGGCTCTGGTAGAGGCGCCTCCGGTAAGGAGCATCCTCACACCCTTACCCTTGATGAATCAACCCCTGACCCAGGACCATCTCCTGCGATCATACCCTGGTTCCTCTCATGTCTAGTGCTAACCTTCTCTCCTCTTGTGCTCCCCCAGAGGTACACAGCCTCCCCTCGGCTTCCCTGCATTCCCCACCAGGTCAAGTGTCTCCTGATTGTTGTGGTGGTGCTCGTGCTCCTGGTTGTGGTGGTCGTGGGCTTCCTCCTGCTGGGCTTGCACATCACTGAGAAGCACACAGAAACGGTAAGTGGGGCATTACCCACATGCAAAGACATATGCATCACTGTGCTAGTGCTTGGGGGTGGCCGAAGGGGCTGCTCTGCCATGTACACAGGTATACAAAGAGAGTAGGTGGAGCTGTGGGCAAGTGCAAATGGGGTTTGTGGCAGGATGTTAGAGGAATGGGGCTTGATTAGCAAGGCCAGCAAAGAAACCAAAAAACCCAGAAACATCTTAGCAACAACTGACGCTGGACGCTGTGCCAACCTAAGGGCCCGGTTTGCTAATGTCTCCGCTTGCATGAAGCTGGCAGGACTGATGGGGGGAGACACTGCAGGTGCCTCCTCAAGCAATGGAAGCAAGCATCTGATGCACCATTGCCTGTCCTGCTTCAGACCACCTGTCTCCCAGCTCCAGTCAGACCTGACTCTGAAGATTTTCTTGGCTTCCAGGTGTTGCGAATGACCATCCAGGGCCGGGATGGGGAGGAGTCCCCACAGCAGCTCTCCATGAGCAGGAAGGAACGAGCAGGGACTTTCTATGTCAAGGAAGGCATCAACTCTTCTGCCATGGTCGTGTACGACTACAACAAAGTAAGCAGCTGGGCCTGGGTGGGAGCTGGTAGGTCAGACTGAGGTGGATTGCAACCCAGGGGCCCATGCTATGCCCTGATCTCACAAGTCAAGGTGCTGATGCTGAATGAAGACCGAACTGAGACAGTGCTGGTGTTTCATTAACAGGCTCAGTCCACAGCCCCCAGATGTAAATATGCCCTTGCCCCTGGATCTCTGGGTTCTGTGGCTTGGGGCCAGCACTAAGCTGATGTCAAATGCTGTCTCTCCACGGGCCTCTTGGAAGTACTGAGCAAAGGAGTCCAAGATGGATGTGGAGAAACTGCTCATCAGGGGAAGAGAGTGCAAGATAATACTGCTCAGTGTTGTGTGATCAGCAGAGAGACAGGGAGGTGCACCTTTGGTCCAAATGAAAGGGCAAGAGTTAGGGTAAGGACAGGCCTATGGAAGGGGTAAGGGACTTGTAGGCTATGTGTGGCAGGCAGGAAACAAGGTACAGATGGGCAATGTGCATGCCAAAAGGTGGAAGGGGCTGCAGCATTGGAAGCAGCCATGCAGCTCTGGTAAGCACAAGTGAGGTGCTGCCATGAAGGAAACCAGGGCTGAAGCCAACATGTGCTCTGTCTGCAAACAGCTGATCATCAGCTACAGATCCTGGCTGGCCCAAGCCTGCTACATCACCAGGATGGACAAGGACAACATCCAGGGCCTGGACGCCATCACCAAGGCATTCCAGTATCACCAGGTGAGCACCCAAGTGGGCCTACTGGGTATGGAGGGGAGCACAGGGCAGATGGCTCTTAAGGGTAGGACCCCAGGAAAGACCAACACATTGCAGAGGATGCAGGATGTTCTTTGGTTACTTGGGAGATGGCAAGCTGCACAGTCCTGGTTCACTTGCCTTGGGAGGAACAGGGTCCTGGATACAGGACCCAGCTTTGCAGGCAACAGGCTACGTGGGGGGCCCACAACTCCACTGCTGCATGGCTATTCAGAGGATTCCGGCTGCCCCTGTCCAGGCAGCCCAGGCCCCGAGCAGCTTGCGGGGCAGCTCAAGAGCCCTCTGCCCACCCCCACAGACAGGGCTTGGATGCAGCCATATGGGGCTGCACGCACGACATAAGCTGCTTTTGTGCAGTGGCACCTGTCCAGGGCTCTCGGAGGGCTGTGCCAAGGTAATCGATCCAGCCCCACACTCATGCAGAGCAGAGGGAAGCTATTCATTTTCCTAATAGGCAAACTGGAAGCCGAGGTGGAAAATTACTTCACCAAGGTCACCTGTCAAAAAAATGGCTAGCGGGGAAATGACCCAGAAGCCTTCACCCTGGCCCCACTACTGGACAACGCTGCCCCTCCAACATGCGTGCAAGCTCAATATGATGGCAAAGCAGTGTTTGCACTGGGGGAGCATTGCTAATGCAGTGCGGTGGTCGTGGAGGACACCTTAGAGCATCATGGGCATTGTATTCCCCAGAGGAAAAGCTGACCTGAGCACACAGTTTGGACCTGGCTGCATCCAGGAGTTGTAGCCCCCAGGCCTGGCTCTAACTCACCGTGCCACTGATGGGTGGGAAACCACATGCATCTGATTTTATTATTTCTTGTTGCAGCTCAAGCAGGGCAAGGAAAAGGAGAGCAAGGGCTTCCCTGTGCCTCTGGCTGACCGCTCTATTTTAGGCACCACTGTCAACATCCTCTGCAGCAATGTTCCCATCTACTGGGCCTAGCAGCTGCTCAGGTGGGTGAGCACAGTGAAGAGGGGCACTGGGTTTGCCCAGGAGCTGGACGAGCAGCACTGCTGGCAGCATACTTCCTCCCTTTTCAGCACATACCCCCACTCCAGCTGGAAAAGCAACAAGCCCTCGACCCAACCCCAGCCTGGCCACAAGCAAATCCCATCCTGACCATTCAGCTTCCAGCATTGAGCCAGCAAGGAGCAAGTTGAATGTGTGTCTCTATGTAACTGATAAAAAGCCCAGCAACCCGCCTGCTCAGCGCCAGCCTGCTCTGCCATGGGCTCTTTCATCTGCCTTGTCTATTAAGAGTAAAAGCTCCCGAGGCAGGGGCTGTGCTGCACTGTACCGCACCCCACTCAGTGGGGTACCCTGTCTCAGCTGGGACCTTGCTACCACAAACTGAGTAATAAACACTAAGACAGAAACCTGCCCAAAGCAGACCTTTCTGTCTCTAGAGCAGTGATTCTCAACCAGGGTGGTGAGGACCCTGGGGTGCCTTGAAATCCTTTCAGGGATGCCACACAATATTATCACTATTAGATGTGCACACGAGTCATGCGATAAACCCAGCAATTTCGAATAAATATTCACTGTGTTAAATAAGTTCTGACCTGCTGTGGTCTTTCTGAGTTCTTCGCTCTATTATTTTTCTGTAGTAGTCAAAAAGCAAGTGAAAACGAAGAGCGGGCATCCTCTAAGGGGTGCCCTGATTCTAACATGGGGTGCCTTGCCTAGAGTCTAAAAAGGTAGAGAACCACTGCTCTAGGGGTTTCTTTGTGGCCATGGTACATACAGGCATGGCTTCTCACGCTCCTATGCTCACCTTACAGGCACCGTCGAGGTCCCAACCAGTGCCCCAAAAAGAGGGGTGATGCCCTTGCCGCTTCCTGCCTACCTGCAGCTCCAGGTTTCTCTTCTGCTCTGACGGCTACGTTTGGCATGCAATCACATGGTGGCACAGCCCACTGCCTGCTGGGGCTGGGCACTAGCAGCCACCGGATTGCCGTTGCTCTAAGCACTGCGAAGCAGTTGATCTGCTGTGATTCCTAGCAGCTGGGCTTCCAGGGGGGAGCTTGCAATGCAAAGAGAGGGGACTGTTTGCTTATGAACTGATGCTTCTGTTTGAAAATAAAAAGCGCCATGAAACCAAACTTCTGCTTCCTTCATTCTCTTCATCAAGTGGTCTGGGGATTTGCCCTTCTCTTCCAGACACCCCCAGGCAGCACTTGTTTAAGTGAACTTGCTCGGCGCCATACCAAGGCCCATATGCATTCACGTAGTAGGACTGCATGGCCGTGTCACATGTAATCAACAGCCTAGTCTGATGGATACGGCCAGTAATCAGGAAACCTGAGTTCCCTTCCTGGCTCTGCCTCTGGCATACTCTCAGATCTTGGGTAAAGCACTTTGCCTCTGTTTCATCTCCTGCCCTTTGTCTTGGGAGACCATGCATCCTCTAAGGAGGGATTATGGGGACCCTGCTGCATTAGGTACCATAGATAGGTACGTGTATGGGATCACAGTGTTTTGTACAGCACCTACCACAGCAGTCCTGACTTGGAGCATTGAGGCACTACTCCAGCACGTGCCCTGGCTACAGTGTTTGAATTCACTTTGCTCCCACAGAACACAACTCACCCCAAAGCCTGAAAAGAGTCAGTCACATAAGTGGTGCCTAGTTCTGGTCCAGGCAGCTTTCAGTGCAGCCAGGCCCCACTAAATGACTCCAGTTAACACAGCAAAGCTCTAGCTGGAGGAATGCAAGGGCCAAATGAAGTACAACCAGTACTAAGCCCTGGGCTGAGTTTTACAGAGCTGTCTGCGGGGGTTAGACGCACAGCCCTCACTGCAGTGCAGACAAACCCTGTCACTGTCCTCAGCCAACAGGGAGAAAATCTCCTGCTGCCAGGGACAAAGGAGACAAACAAGCACACACTCGGGGCCATGATTCAGGAAGGGGCTGCCTTGCTCGGCACCAGCAGGCACTGCTATCAGAAGCAGGCACCTCACCTTAGCAGGCGCAGCAGTGTGACCCCTGTAACTCAGCACCTGCTTTCATTACTGCTCACTTCAGCCTCCTAATGCAGCATCCGAGAAGCCTGATGCCATCAGCAGGGGCTCAAGTTGCTGAGCTGGGGAGATGGGGATCAAGTGCCCTACTGCCACAGCCGCAGGTGAAAGTGATCCCAAAACAGGTGCTGAATAAGAGGGACCATGATACACAGGGCACTCTGGCATCTCCCAGACTCCCAACTCTTCAGCCAGGCCTTTGCTGTTCCTTGTTTATTAACCAAGTTGAAAAAACCCCCTGGATCTGAACATCCCTGAACACAGGGAAAGTTTGGATCCAACACTCCAGCCCCATACCAACTCTCCCAGAGAATAAGCAACAACTAGACAGGGCAACATTTTCACCTGACCTGAAACTTGCTGCTATAGCATGTAGTAGGAGCAGCTGAGATCCAGCACCAGCAAAGTCAGGAGCAGTCTGGCCAGTCCAGTCACTGTCCCCTAAAAGCTGGCAGATATCCCCAGGAAGTGGGGTCCAAGCCCTTGATTCATTACTATGGGATTGCCTAAGCATGCAGTGACCAGCAAATTATATGCAAGAGCTCACTGGCTGGCAGCAAATGTTCAAGGCTTGGAAATAGCCGGTGGATGGAGGCCCTAGTTGCCACCATAAAGATGTAATGAACCAGCCCCTGCCCTGGGAACACCGGGCCAAGCCACATGCCAGTGTGTTGCAACAGTGAGCCACCGATAAGCCTACGTGCCTGTCTCCACTCCATCCTTTGAAGTCTCTGGTCTTGGTGTTACCCACTTGGTGCTGGTGACAAGCATGTGAGCTGAACAAGAGCATGCTCTCAGAGCAAGGGAGGGAGGCTGAGGGTGGTGAGCTGGAGACATCTGGGAAGGGCTCTGTGCAATGCAAGGAGCTGAGAATGCTTCTAAAGAAGGCCACTCACCGACATGAAGTGTTTAAGAGGAAACATCCCCAAGAGGTGCTTAAACATTGGTCTCCTCCCCACACAGCACCAAAGAAACATATTGTGCAGAGTAGGGGTACGGATGCAAAGAAACCTTCCCCTGGAGGGCACCCACTTGACCAGACAAAGCCTAGTGAATAGAGCTGCTGGCAGGGAGCAAAGACCCAGGTGCCTAGCGAGGGGCCTGGTACCTTGTGGGGGAGGAACGTGCCATGTTTCCTTGTTTCTCCAGGTCCCTGCAGACAGCTGGGAATACCCATGCCTCAGGACACTTGGAGCTGCCGGCTAGCTCAAGGTCTGGTGTCGGACTGCATTCAAGAGCTGGTCTCGCAGGAAGGGCAGCCAGGTCAAGCTGTACCCCAGGGAGAGAGAAGCAAAATAGAGGATGCCCAGGCTCCAGCTGGTACAGAGTGGAGCTGCCTGCCTGCTCCAAGACTCAGACTTGTGCAAGCACCCCAGGCCTGTGCTCATGTCCCTGCACTGGCTCCCAAGCAGCTGCCCTTGCTAGGTTAAGCTTCAGTCCTGAGCCCTGAAGCAGGCAATACATGCTCTGGCAATGGCAAAGACCAAAATTTCCCCATGCAGAAAACCAAACCAGCAGATCACAGATCCTGGGGCAGTGTGAGAGACCTGGGAGAATATGTTCCCCATCAGCTCAGCCAAGGAACCAGCTCCAGGGAACCAGCTCCTAGGGGCAGCAAGGCAAATCCTCAGTCTGACCTTCACTGGGGTCAAGATGACCTTCATCTTGAAATGATCTCTCCACCACCAGACTGGCATTAAGCACCCAGGTGCGCCAAGCAACCCAGTAAACCCATGCACAGACACCTCTACCCAAAAGACCCTGGTCTTCACCTATACAGCATATGCTAATCCAGACACACACTTTCTGTCCTCTAAGCCCTCTGCCAATGCCAGGGCCAGTCTGAACCAAACTGGCTGACAAACCCCACAGGAAGGCAACAACCGTTTTAACAATGCAAAATCCCACCCCAGCAGAGGTTTGTCCTGGCATGAGAGAGGTGCCAGAGGCTCCATCCTCCACTGAGGTTTTGCTGGCTGCTACCAGTGCAATGAGAGAAGAGTGCTGGGACCACCATGAAGAGCAGCAAGATGGGAACATTATATCAAACAGCGGCTGAACACAAAAAAGGTGCACACAGGGCTAGACAGAAGAACAGAGGGGTGGGACATGCAGACAGACGGACAGATGTAGACCCAGCAGTGGGGGCAAGGGCAGCAGTAAGGTTGGGGGAGGCTCTGGTGGGAACTTTGCCCTGTGTTGTCTATAGGAGCTTTGCCATGGGCTCCAGCAGGGCCAGGACACCATCCTGATGGCTTGGCAAGGCTTAAGCTGCTGGGTCCCCACCACTGGAAGGTTGTGAACACGGGCCTGCATTTATCTGACTGGGACATGCATTTATCTGGGCTGGTCTAGACAGGGAGCAGGGGCCAGAAGAGATGAGCTGCTGGCGTCCCTCCCAGCCCTGCTGTGTTCTGCTGCAATGCCCCATGTGCACCAGTGAGTGAATGCTCCCCCATGCAAGGCCAGCACTAAGCCTATGCCCCACATCAGCAAGGCTCTCGTGGGACCCCAGCCTCATTCTGCTCCACTGCAGGGGTGCTTCCCCCAGGCACCCCTCTCTGAGCAGGCAGCCTCACCCAGCTGCAAGTCCCAGCCAGACTTGTCCTTCTTCCTATCTCCAGCCCCTTCCAGCCCTTTGAGCTGTCCATGTTGCCCCTGACCTTATAGCCAGGAATGGTACCAGCACAGAGATACAGCAGTGCACCCCTTCCTGGCAGGTCCCAGCATTGGAGAGATTGGGCAACAGGTTGGAAACGACACGAGTTCAGGCTCTTTCTGAATATGCTCTCCCTGCCTCCCCCTGCCCCCCCCCCCCCCCCCCCCCCATCTCTGCTGTGGCCTGGGAGCTCTCAGACTGGTGGGGTTTAAAGAAAGTTTGAATTGGGGCTTTGTCTTTGAAGCACTTCCAGGCAGTAGAGCAGGCTGAGAGGCTAGGGCAATGAGCCAGAGCTGGCTTCTGGGACACTTCAGCTTGAAAGTCATGGCCCGCCTGAGCTGGTTTGCTTTGGCCATCAGCCCCCCGGAAGGGGCAGCTCTCAGGGCAACAAGAGCCCCATGTGCCCTAAGACAAGAGCCCTTAGGGACTCTTGATGGACCTGCTCCGAGGGGCTTATCTGGGACTTGGCTCTGGGCAAGCAGGTGGGCAAACAAGAGAGGAGTGAAGCAAATGCCTGAGCTGGGGCTGAAAGGGCCTTCAAGGGGGCTGGAGAGCTCTCCCCTCACTTCCCACCCCTGCACAACCCTCTATATAAGTCCTTCCCTGCTGTTGGGATGCCCAAGGGACAGCCTGGTCCAGCAAGAGGAGGGGCAAGATGGAAATCAGCATGAAGGAGGCTCTGGCTGAGGACCCACTGGTAAGACTCAGTCTCACCCCTCTTCTTGTGGCCAAAGGGGACAGAAAAGCTCTCCTGTCCCCTGTAGCTGTGTCTATGCCTGTGTGGCCACCTCTGCGTGCACATCTGCAGGCATGTACCAGCATATACATCCATGGCTACTGTTTCTCCCATCCCCTCCTGTTCTTCCAATGCCAGCTGAGCCGCAGAGCCCATCTGGGCCGAGAGCCACTGACAGAGCCCCTCCAAAACCCAGCAGGTCCATCTGAAAAACCTGATGGTGACTGGCAGAGGGAGAGAGAGCTACGGCCCTCCAACCCAGCCAGCATTCCCCAGGCTGGGTGAGGCTATCAGCCAGGTCTCCAGCCTGCATGGCCCCAGCCTGCACAGCCCCTGGGCTGTGACCCAGCTTGCTGCTGTGCACAACACCTAGGGATATGAGGAGTGGGAGGACAAGGCCCTGCCCATCGTGCCCCTGGTCTCTCTCCCTGCATGCCTTTCTCCTCCTCCCACCTCCTTCCCATCCCTGTAACCTCCTCCCTTCTTCATGGGGGTCCGCCTTGGCTTGTCTCCACAGGGGTATGATGCCCTGGAGTCGGAGCTGGATTGTTGTGATGCCAGCTGCTGCAGCCCAGACTGCTGCTGCTGCTGCCCCAGCTGTGCTGACTGCTGCCCCAGCTGTTGCTCCAGCTGCTGCCCCTGTCCCAGCCCCAGCCCCATCCCCATCCCCAGCATCCCCACCTGTCCTAGCTGTGGTGACTGTTTCTCCTGCATGGGCTGCGGGGATGGCTGTCCTGGCTGCACTACCTGCTGCAGTGCCTGCCCCGGGCGCGAGTGCTGCTGCCAACTTGGGTGCGGGTGCTGCTTGCGCTACCTGTGCTTCCTGCCGCGGCTGCTCTGCAGCCTCCCCAAGCTCATCGGCCACTCCCTGCACCTCAAGAGGATCCTGATCATCGTGGTGATCGTCGTGCTGGTCGTGCTGGTTATCGTGGGGGCCCTGCTGCTGGGGCTGCACATCACCCAGGAGCACTCTGAGGCTGTAAGTCAAGGGGGAGGCACCCAGTTGCCAGGGGCATGCAGTCACACACAGCAGTACACAGGGACAGCTAAATTCATGTGCCAATGCAACCAGTCACCCTGGCAGCCTCGTGCACATACAAAGTGGGACTTATATGAGTGGCAGGCAATGCTGTCACCCTGCCTGCATATTAGCCTCTGGCACAAATGGAGCTGAGCTGCGGGGCCAGAGCAGCTGTGTGTGGGTACTGAGGGCACACCTAGATGCAGAGGGGACTAGTGACATCAGCAGAGGATGAGAGAGGGATGGGGCAGCGAGGACAGAGCACAGCTGGGAATCAGCAATACCAGGGGCCAGGAGACAGGAGATGGCCCTTCAAAGAACTAGTAACAAACCATGCCACAGGCCAGAGCCCAGCTCCAGTCTCTCCCTCTGTGGGAAGGGGGGGCCTGGCTCTGTCACATTGACACCAGGAAAAAACAAGCAGCCACTCTCAGATAAACTCCCCCTTCCAGCACTGGGTGGGATACAGGGACCTTAAACTTGGCAGGGAGGAGAAGATACAGCTGTGAGAAGGCAGAGAGGAAGGAAGAGCCCTCCAAAGTGTCCGTGGGCTGCTCCAGACATCTCTGAGCAGACGCGGCTACAGCCCTGGGTCTGGTCTGTGGGCAGGCACAGCGGAGCCACTTGGCTTTTCCTGCTGCTGGGGAAAAGGTGCCCCACCATGTTTTGCCCTGCTCCTTACCTCCATGCTCCCCCCAGGTTCTGCAGATGACGGCCAAGGCACTGGAAGGGGAAGCATCGTGGTCTGCCAGGGCATGGGAAGAAGAGGCAGCGACTTTCCACCTCAATGCAGGAGCCAACAACCCTGCCACGGCTGTATACGACTACAGCAAGGTAAGCAGGGTGCTTGGGCACTGGCCTGGCCAAGCACACTGACCTGCCTCAGGAGCTGTCAGTACCTGGGAGCTCCTAACAGCAGTCCGTCCCCCACCCCCTACCAGTCAGTCACCAACCCCCATGCAAGCAAAGAGGAGCTCCAGCCCTGGAGATGGGCTGGATGGGGCAGGGTGAAGGATGCTGTGCTGCCTCTGGCAGCAAGAGAGAGGGAGCTGGGGAAGGGGCAGGGAGGTGAGCAGTCAGGGTCTGTGTTTGCAAAGACTTAATCCACAAAACCAAGCCTTTGTGAAGGCAGGCAAGTGGGTCATATGGACCCAGTGCCCCAAGCTGGGAGAGGGGGCCAGCCCATCTCCGCCAGTGGCTTTGCAGTCACTGAAGGACAGGCCCACAGAGGAGTGAAAAGTCTCGTGGGCTGCATGTTACAGCCAGGGAACAAGAGGGGCATGGAGGAGCAATGTTAGGGGAGGCAAAAGAGGCTGTGCGATCAAAGGCAGCCATGCAGCTCCAGTGAGTATGAGCCAGGTAAGGGGAAACCGGGGTTAAACCAGCATGTGCTCTGTCTGCAAATAGCTGCTCATTGGCTATAGATCCTGGCTGGGCCAAGCCTGCTATGTCACCAGGATGGACAAGGACAACATCCAGGGCCTGGACGCCATCACCAAGGCATTCCAGTATCACCAGGTGAGCACCCAGCTAGACCCATGCAGCCTGGGGGAGGCTGGGCATGGAGGGGAGATGGCTCTCATGCCATCTGGAATACAGGGTCCAGAGGGGACACAGTAGGTAAAAGCCATCAGCAAAGGTAATGAAACAGGAGGCTGTGCAGACTCCCAGCATCAGACCTTTCAGGGATGGTGCCCAGATTCATGCATGTGTTGCAGTTTTGCTGGCAGCCACCAGTGCAAGATCCAATGGGCTAATGCCCGTCTGCCTGAAGGGCTGGCCATGGGTCTATATAATCCCTCTGTACCCATGCAAACACAGGCTCAGGCTCCTTGTGGGTCCAGCTGGCCCCAACTTCCTTGCAATGCCCCTCGAGCGTACAGAGGCCCCTTTGCTGAACACAGACTAATCCTCACGAGAGACCTGAATTGCATGCAGGTTAAATGCTGCACAAAGCAAGTTGGGTCAGGGGTACGTGCAGAATCCAGGAGCACCGCCTCCTCCTCCCCTGCTTTTGCCATTAAGCCAAAGAGCCTCCAGGCAGCAGAAGCTGAGCCCCAAGGCCTGAACCGCTCACCCACATGGCTCCCCTCTCTCTGTGCAAACCGCCTGCTGCAGCAGGACACATTTCCAGCATGGTGACCTTGTTGTAAGCTTTTGGTATCAGGAAGGTTGTCCAGCTCTGAAACCCTACTCTCACAGCAGGGCTGGAAGGGGTGGAAAAACAGCTCACATTAGCAGAAGTGCCTACAACTGCTACTAAGGGGTCACGGTCAGGGGGGTGGTCGGCCCACTTCCAGCTTGTCACCTGTTCCAATCTGCCTCTAAAGCAGCTTGTTCCTGACTCCTAAACAGGGTGAAGGCCAGGACGAGGGCTTCTCCATGCCCCCAGGCGATCGCTCTACCCTGGGCACCACCATCAACATCCTCTGCAGCCACCTTCCCATCTACTGGGCTTAGCAGCAGCTCAGGTAGGTGACCAGCAGTGCTGACAGGGACAGTAGCACACGATGACTGACTTTGCCCTCCATTGACCGCCGCACATCATACACTGTCTTCAGCAGAAGGAAGCACACAGGGCCAGTTAGGGCACAGATTGGACTAACCCAGGAGCTGTTTCATTGCCTGGCAGAGCAGGGCCTTGCAGGAATGGCCGGCCAGGCCTGCAGCCCATGGGGGAGCTGCCTGTCAGGCTGATGAGCTCCCACCAAGAGCCCTTCGAACCCAGCTCTCCCTGTGCACCCTTCCAAGAGAAACAAGTGGGCTAGCCCTGGCAGCTCAGCAGCCCCTGCAGACCTTTGTTACTTTAGTTAGTGGCACTGAATTCATAAATGCTTGAATTCATTCTCTGAAGAGAGCATGTATTGAATGCAGCAATTTACAACTTCAAGCACAGGACAAAGAACAAGAGAAAAACTTTGCCCAGTAAGACACAGCCCAGTAAGACACAATGACAGCACATACAGCTTAAAATGCAATGCAATAAACCAAAAAGACAACAGAAACCCTTGTGTAAATTGTACGTAATCCTGAGGGCAGATTCACCCAGGTATTCAGAAAGTCCTTCTGGAGGATCCATTGGTCTTCATAGATGATGACAAGAAGATCCCACAGGCCTCATCTCTCTCTGAGTTTTTATAGGCAAATCTGCACCCCTTCTCCCTGTTGGGTGCCTTGACCATAGCAGGTGTCCAGGTTATAGCCGTCTAGAGGAAAAAGCAATCAGGACTCGTAGTAGAGATGATATAAAAGATATCATCTCTACTACGAGTCCCGATTGCCTTGACCATAGCATGTTTTTCACGTCCCTCACATACAGCATACCCCTCATGCATGTATTCAGTGTCTGTCTCTTCCCAGGTATTCCACTCTTTCTTACAGGTTCTGCTTTGAAATGTAAATGTAGTCCCCTGCTTTCTTTGGGCACACTAGCCCAAACAGTCTGGGACACTTCCCCTGCTTTCTTAGGTCTGTCTCCAGCACACACTTGTGATGACTGTGCAGGTCTTTGCCAACACCTCCTCACCTCTCTGCCTTTGCTCTGCAGGATGCAGCAAGGGCCCGCATGGGATGGGAAAGCCACGTCCTTCACTGGAGCCCACACCACAGCTTTACTGGTCACGTCCCTGGGTGCGATTCAGGAGCCGGCTGGCTTTGTGGAGACTTCTCTCACTGGCCCTGATTCAGGAAAGCTGAACTTCAAGGCACACCCTTGAGTCCCCATGATTTCAGGAAGAGTCCATCTGTACCCCATTTGCACCCCATCTGTTCCTTTCAGAAGGATTCCAAAATTATATGGCTCTCGGTTGAATTTTGTGGGTCAGGGATGCAGGGTTCGGATGCCCTGGACCTCGGCGCCTCGCCAAGGATTGCTCTTTGGCAGGTGGCACAGCTGGAGCCCAGAGGGTGGAAGGTCTTACCTGCATCTCTCCCTGCTCCTGCCTCAGGTGCTTCTCACAGCAAGTCTTGTCAGAAAAAATTCCCTTCCCTCTGCCTGCTCTGCAGAATTAAATAGGAGGTAGAGAGAAGAAAGAGGGTTTCTGGGTGGGGGCTTGTACTAAAGGACATCACGGGGTCACAGCAGAGCCCTGAGCCTCTTTATAAGAAAGGAGTGAGGAGAGAGCCCCAAGGATGATCAAAGAGTGAGAGTTGGGAGCTCAGAGCATTTAGCTCCAGGGGAAGGTTAAGGGGCGACTTGGTCTCAGCCTATAAATACCTGCAGAGGGTACGAAGTGGAAGGAGAAAGGTCTTGTCAGGCAAGCAGGCAGAGGGGCTGCAGCTGGGAGCCAAAGCCTGACTAAACACAGCGCAGATCTTGTCTGCTGTAATTCACCTTTGCAACAGCTTATCGCAACCCAAGGTAGGGACAAGGCTGGGGAGGGAAGTAGACCAGTGGCTTCATGAAGTCAACAGCTACTCTGGGTCAAACAGGCTAGGTTCGGAGGAGCCCGTGCATCGCACAGGGGCCAGACCTGAGGATCACACTGCTTTCTGAGTCTCACCCCAGACTCTCTTGCTTCTAAAACAGCCAGCTTTGCCCTGTGACAAGGATCCATGGAAAATAAAGTGCTGCATGACTGTGATGGAGAGAGACTCTCATGACCCGAGCGGTGTGTGTACATACATGCAAACCCCATGCAGCGTGCTGCTGAGCGTGTGCCAGGGAAAACACTCTGCCACCCCACAGCCCACACTGGACAGCAAAGACCTTGACCTAAGCCTACACAGCAGGGCTGAGCTACAGGGAGAGGAGACCTCGTCCCTGCTGTGTCACCAAGATGCTGGGTCTGGGCACACTGTGAGGCTCCCCGTAAGGGGAACAAGGGAAGACCAGAGAGCCGGGGCTGGCACAGATGGCACAGCTGGCTAGGCTTTGCAGGGCCTGGCTCTGCCTGCCCTGGATTCCTGGTCTTCCCACGTGGGTGGACTGGCGTTGAACCATAAGAGCGCTGCATAATTGATGGCGGATCTGCGCTAACACACAGTGACACTGTCACCCTGGAGGCTGGTGAATAATGGATGCAAGGACGGCATCCTCGTTAGTAGGTCACGCCTTTGCCTGAGGAGACTCCTGCCTCCTTGGGGCCACAGAGGGAATGCCACAGCCACTGATATCCATGTGGTCTGATCTGCACCCCCACACTTGGTTGTCAGCCCTGGCCCCTCTGCCCCTGGTGGGCATGGCCACATGCTACCAGCACAGCGGAGGAGGAGCTCTGCCTGCAAGGATGGCTGCTACCACACTACAAACACCTCCTCCAATGCCTGCCCTCACTTGACAACCTCTCTGCCTCCTCTGCTCCTCCTCTGCAGAGATCTGAACAAGGTTTGCCATTTCCCAAAGCAGAGGTCCCAGCAGGAGCTCACCCTGGCATGGGCACCATGACAGTGGGGGGGCATTTGCAGTGGGCTGCAAGACGGTCTCCGCAGAGGTTGCGCTCCCCACACAGTGTGAATGAAGGGAGCACAGGTAGCACAAACCAGGCCCTCGGATGTTGTGGGCCTCAGCACTGGGGCTGTGCTGTGCTTGCTGCCCACACACAGGCTTCCCACCCACGGCTTCTGCCTGTGCTCTGTCCCTGCCTGCATGCTGGGCCTGGGGGCAGCCTGCCCGGAGCCATGGGGAGCAGCTGGAGCCTGGCATGGGAGTCCAGCTGGGAGGTGTTGCTGCTGCTCACGGGTGCCTGCAGCATCCCCGGACCTGCATGGGTTACGGCTCCCGGTGCTGGCACTACCTCGATGCCGGCACTCTGCAGCCTGGGCCAGGCAGAGGCACTTGCGGGGTTCGTGCTCTCGCTGCCGCTGCTTGGCGAAGCCAAGGAGCTGGCTGGGTGGGCCGTTGAAGTGAAGACACTGCTCACTTCAATGAAACTGCTCATGTGCTGCACCGGGACTCGGTGCAACATAAGCAGCAGGCACCAGCCTGGGACCAGCATGAAGTTACGCAGCTAAGTGAATTCTGCACTTCTCTGGTAGGCACTTGAGTGTGCTGGCACCACCGGCATTTGGAGGCAGAGAAGGCGGCGATGGGTGGCAGCGCCACGCTCTGAGATGGGCTCTTCCTGCTGCCGCGGGGTCTAAGGGCTGCCGCATGTTGCACAGGGCCAGCCCCTGCCTGGAAAACTATAGTCAGAATAGACCCAGGATGGGAGCAGAGGCAGCTTTCTACAGGTCGCCCATTGCATGATTGACCAAGCCCGGGTTTCCCCTCTTCCTATTCAGTGACCCTTCACTGGACCGCATGGCACACAGCACACGGGTCAGCATCCTTTGTAGCATGCCTCCCTGAAGTGTAGTGCAGCAACGAATCACTTGCTTTTGTATTAGCGTATCCACAAACAGTGTCTACCACACCGAACCTAGAGCTCTGGCCAGGGCCTTTGGGTGATGACATCACCTACAGGAAAAACCCTGACTCCAGTCCTCCCTGAACAATCACAGGGGTTTGGTTTGGTTTTTGTTTCTCTGCTTTAAACTGAAATTCAGAGTTTTCTGTACACGACTCTTGACTATGGGTCCCTTCCCAGGGAGTCATTTTCTTTTCAGCTTCTCCACCAGGTCAGAAACAAGAAGTAAAAGCATCCTTCTGCTTCAGGAGTGCAAATTCTACAAAATACACCAGTTATCAAAAGGGTTAAGATAACACTGGGAGAGCTGGCAAGGTGGCATAATAGGACTGTGAAATAATGACCCAGAGCAGGGGGCTATGACACACATCATCACTTTTCTTTCTTATAGAGACAGTGTTATTTGGCATTGTCTTGGAACTGAGTAGGGTGAGATGCTTGAGCTCTTCTCTTGGAAACTGCTAGTGCCAGCAGCCTCTTCCAGCCTGTACCAGCAAAGGAGTGCTTTTCCTGGTCTGTATTCTCCATGTGAAATAAATCATAGCTTTTTCTGCCCCTCTAACTGCAGCTGTACTAGAGTTCTTGCCTTGAAAAAAAGTGTCTCCAGAACAACAAAACCATGCCCATGTTAGCCAGTACTATAACAGCAAAGGATTTTTAGGCAAACCTGACCGAGGCCTGTGAGGTCTTTTGAAGAACCCAGTCTTGACCTGTACCAGCTGAGTTTGTTCTGAGGTCACTTTGGAAGATGTCTGGGCAACTGAGACATGGACAAAGTACAGGAGACACCTCAAGTCACCGGAGAAGTACCATCAATGCTGCCTGTGGAAGATGCTTCGAATCCCATGGGTAGACGGACGCAACATTAGCATCCTTTCACAAACAAGCACCACGAGCATTGAGGAAATGATCATCCAACATCAGCTTCGCTGGGCCAGCCATGTCATCCAGATGGCTGACTCCCCAAGCAAGTTTTATTTTCCCAGCTTAATCAAAGTATACACTTAAGAGGAGGGCAGAGAAAGTGCTTCAAGGACATCCTCAAGGCCAACTTGGAAAAAAAATGCAACATCAACTCGTGGGAGACTATCACCTCAGGCTGCCCCAAATGGAGGAAGAGTCTGCTGCAGGGATCTCAGTACTTTGAAACCTTATAATAACAACAGGAGACAGAAAAATGGGAGCAGCAAAAACAGCATGCCCCAGTTTGAATCTAGAAACCAGAGCTACCCACCCCGCATGGAAACATGTACCCGAGCTGCAACAGAGTCTGTCGACCACGGATATGCCCGTCAGCCATCTTTGGACCCACAGATAAGATAATCATGGAAGACAATCTTCCTCAACTGTGAGGGATTGCCCGTGATGGGACATGTGCAGGTATGAAAGGCAGAGGGTTCAATGTTGATCATGTGTGTGACGATGGAGCAGAAGTTGTAGCGGCGATGACTTGGAGGTTGACACTAGGAAGCTCCATGTACTTTTCCAAGCCTGGTATGGAGCACATGGCATTGCTAATAGAGTCTCAAGTTCTTGCAGTCCAAATGGAGTCCCTTTATTATTGCACATAGCTCTGTGCTGAAACCATCTGGTCTGACCTCCTTTACATGCCAGCTCAGGGAATTTAATCTGGCAATCCCTGTTATGAGTCCAATGACTTGTCTTGCACTAAAGCATCTTCCTGAAGGGCATCTAAGCTTGAAGACTGCTGATACTGAAGTGTGTCACTGCCCTTGGCAGGTTCTTCTGGTGATTAATCATCCACCCTGTCAAAAATTTGTGCCAGATTCCTAATTTGAATGGTCTGGCTGCAGCTTCCGGCCACAGCTTGTTATGTCTTTCTTTGCTGCTAAAGGGCCCTTTCAATGCCGACTTGTCCTCAGGAAGGTCCTTGTACATCTTTTCACTACTTGATCATTTCAGTGGGGCCCCATCAGTAGCCCCTGGATTACTCTCTTGTGTGTGAGAGAGAGAGAGAGGATTCAGAAAGGGAACTTGCCAAAGAAGTAAGAGTGAAAATATTTTATGTAATAATAATAATAATAATAATAGAAGAACCCTAACAAGACATGAAACCAGCTGTGATGCAAACCAGATGTGGGAGTCCAGCCACTGCCAGCTGAGCTCATGAACCAGCACTTGGGCAGAGGGGAGTGCCAAGGGGCATTGCTCAGTTCTCGGCCAGCAGCAGGGCTTCCCCTGGTGCACGGGGATTTTGGTGTACAAGGCAGGGAAGGGGAGGAAGAGGGGAAACAGGAAAAAAGGATGGGAGAGGCTGCATTCCTCAGGAAGGGCAGGCAGGGGGAGCAGGAGCCCACATACTGTCCGTCCCAGCAGTGGGGGAGGCTGGGGCTCAGGGGAGATGGAGCAAGGGACTATGTATGTGACAGCCCTCAGCTGAAGGCCAGCTTCACCAAGGGTAGCGTCCTCTAATGTCAGCATGAGGACAGGGGAGTCCCTCAGGACAAGGACCCCTGCACAGGAGCCTCTTTGGGAAGTCCTTGAAAGAGCAGTTTGGTCTCCCAGAGTTTGCAGGCTCTCGGTGGCCCTGTGGGGCTGACAGAGTCCATGCTTACATCTGCAGGGGATGTCTAGAGCTGCTCTGTTGAGCTGGTGCCCAGGGAAGGAAATGCAGGTGCTTTGAGTTCAGTGGGTTCCTGAAGCTGGGGCTCTGGGGCCCAGGTGGTCTGTGGCCTCTGCTGAAGCTGCACATAGGGTGGCTGATTAGTCCCAATTAGTCCATAGTGCAGTGGAGTGAGACCCCACACTTATTGTACCCTGCCAGTTGGTAATAGCTTCTTGTGATAAGAGCTGACCTGGGGCAGACTGTCGCAGGGGCACTAAGGTGCCCTGCTCCTAGAAGGGCAGAAACTGCCTGGCGAGAGAGCCTAAAGAGAGAGAGGCAGAAGCCCAGGTGCAGGTTACCAGGTCAACAAGCCAGACAGCAAATTAGCCTGCGCCTGCACATGGTCAGTTGACTGGAAGGGGCATGGCCCTGGGTCCATATAAACCCCAGGATGGGACAAAGGGGCAGTTTCCTGCTAGCAGCCAGAGGGGAAGGAGCCTCCAGGGAGGAAGCGTCCAGTGATGCAGCAACTGCTTAATATGCTGCACCCAGAGCTAATGGGGCTCCATGAGCTATGCAGCTACCCTTACCTATAAGATATTTAAGGGCCAGAGAGGAAGTTCTGTGCTTTTAAGGGGACAGAGTACACCCTGATCTTCTGCATTATGTTATAGCCCGGGGGCTTGTGTTTTGTTTATTGTTTCATACCACTGGTGGTTTGGGTGAGGCTATTTGGGGAAGGAGGAGGCCACATAGGGGGCCCAGGGACCCCAGTGCTGGAAAGGGGTGTGGCATTTGGGGGCACAGAGACCCTGGTGCCAGAGGGAGGCATGGCTGTTTTGGGGGCACAGAGACAGACAGGGCTGCGGAGAGCCCGGAGAGAACAAGGGGGCCAAATTACAGCCAGGCCTAGGTAAGACAATGTTGATACCGTGCCCCAAGCCTCACAGATGGTAAAGGAGTGCTTGGAGCCATGCATATAGCCCATAAGGCTAGGGTGTCTCGGGACATCTGTTTTGAAATGGGACTCGCAAGGGGTCCGGGACCCCTGGGGTTCAGGGAAATTCATCACAACCGTGCTTAGGTAGGCTTAAAGGCAGCCTCCCTATACCAATTATTCAAAAAAGACATGGTGGGTGAGAATAGAGGGTGCCCATCGGGCTGAACTGGCATGGTCGAGGGGCCTTGGGGGTAACGTGGCCATCCTTAGGGACCCCATCCCGTGACACAGACTGACACTACTGGCCTGCCATGTGGAGGAAGGGTTCCCTGCAGCCCTAGAGACACTTCTGGCAGGGCTGGGGGGGTTGTGTCTAGTCCAGTGTTTCTCAATCTGTGGGTTGCAGGACTATATGAAAGGGTTGCGATCAAACTTTAAAAATGGATTCTCCTTTTAAAAGAAAAAGACATAAGAAACTGTGGGTTTTCCCTTGCAGGCTGGCAGAGGTCCAGCCTGTGAGGGGCTGCTTAGGGGCCCCCATGCCCCACACATACCCCTACTGCCTCACACACCCACCTCCTGCCCCATGCACTGGGAATCTAGAGGTAGGAGACAGTGGGAAGTTGAAACCTTGCAATAAGGTTTCAGAGGGATGGGAGAGATGTAGAGGCTCATGTTTTGGCCTCTTGTACTGAGCTACTTGTGCAGATGTCTGTGAATACCTGCCTGTGGATAAGGCATCCCCACTGCCATGCTCGCAGCACAGCCAGCCCCCAGCACTTCTGAGCCAAGACTAAGGCTGCACAATGTATTAGGAGAGCAGCTGAAAAACAGGGGCATTTTAAAAATAACACCTGGATTCCCTTTTCTTGTGACATGGTATAGCAGACCATGAGGATGTGCCCGCTCCTTTAACAGCAAACAGGCTGAGAGGCTGCTTGCAGGTGGCAGAGGGAGCTAATGAGAGACTCACCAGACCAGATGAAAGAGGGCTCAGGCTGGAGCTATAAAAGACCAGAACCTACCCTGGTATCCTTGAAGTGAGGAGCTCTTGGTTATGGCATGGCAGGGACCTAGATGTAGCTAAACATCTGTGTAAGCTTGGGGAGAGAGTCAAGTTCCCTGGGCAGAAAAGGACTGGGTTTTACAGGTAAGTGGCCTTTGTTTTATGTTACCCCCTAGAGGGTTTGAAGTGCCTATCTGAGGGTCCATGTGCCCAGGGAAAGGCAGAGCCAGGACCAGGGAGTCTGGAGAAGGGGCTGTGTATAGGGTCTGAGGGGACCCTCTGGGGCCAAATGTTGAGCCCTGGCCTGGAAGGTATGCCCACTGGGAGATGGGGCAGGTTACAGGCATGTTGGAACGAAGCTTATCCTCATCTCTTGCTTTCAGCTGCCTTCCTGGGAGACCTTGCATTGGATGAGGAAGGCCTCTGGACGTTTCAGGTGGATGGCATCACGGACATTGTATGCCACACCATCTTCAGGGCGGCCGCCAACGCTTCAGGTATGACAGCCCCCAGCCACTGATCAGCTGCCAAAGCCCCTTCCCATGCTCCCAACCAGGCACTGGTTTGGATGCTGTGTTGCAGGAGTGGGGAACAGGTGGGAGAGAGGCCTGTCTCAGGAGCTCCCCTGCACGCTTCCACAGTTGCCCCTCTCCTTGTGAAGTTGAGTACTGTATTGCTCTGATTATAATGATGGTTCTTTTGGAAGGGGGAAAAAAAAAAAAGAAGCAACAAACTCGCACTGCTTATGTGCAGGATCACAGTGCCTCAACCTGTGCTGATAAAGCCATGGGGACATAGGGCTGTGCTCAGAGGGGATCAGGGCCTGGGATTGTCCCTGTCCAACTGTGGTTACAGGGAACAGATGGGCTTCGCTCTTCATGTGCCAGCAGGACCTAGAAACCACAGTTCAGGCCAGAGCTTCCTAATATTAGGGGCTGCACGTGTACTTTTTTTTTTTTTTTCCTTGTCCTAGAGTCTAGAAGGGTGGGAAGGGAAACTGAGGCAAGAAGCAGTGAAATGATTCACTCGGTTGGGTAATAGCTCAGTGGCAGAGCCAGGAATAGAGCTGGTCTCCAGGTCCTAACCAGCAGCACATACTCCCTGGCTCACTCCCCTCCAACTGAAGGAGTGTTGGCTTGGGTCCAGAACATAGAGTTACATGCAGCAGGGCCTGATCATGTAGCTCTTCCCTCCCTGGGGAAACCAAAGGTGTCTGTAGTGGCCTACCTGCCCACCCAGCTGCCAGGAGAAAGTTGCGCATGCTGTGCCTGGAGCTGTTGGTGCAGGAGGCAGGCTCCACCACGGCTGGGGATGGGCAGTGCCTGCCTGGGTGGTGGGCTGCAGAGCTTGGGATCAATGGACAGATCTGGCAGGGTTCCCACAGCTCCATGGTAAGCCTGATTCCCTCCCTGCTGTGACTGATGCTCAGCTGCAGCTAAGGAACATGGTGGCTTGTGGAAGTGCTCATTAGGCCCAATTAAACCTGACCTGAAGTGCATTGAAACCCCACAGAGCAGATGTGCAGCGTATGCTACCTCCCTTTAGTGCTTGGCCTGCATCCTCTGGGGTGCTTGTGTGCCTAGTGCTGGTTGGAAGCACTGGGGGAAGTGGGAGGCTGGTAGTGTGAGAGGTGGATTTGTTAGATCCCTAGATGCTGAGCAGGTGGCACAAAGTCATTGGCAGTGTGTGCCCAAAATTACCCTCGGTTAAGCTCAAAAGACGCACCTGTTCTAGCTGGGACTGGGGATGGATGCGGCTGGCTCTGGGGGCAGTGGCATGCCTCGAAGGAGGGCTGTGGGAACAGTGGAGAGGGAGCCCTGGGAGCAGAGCCCTCTCCACATGCTTCCCTAGCCAGAGATGTGCAGGTCTGGCTTCTGCACAATCCATGGGGAGGCCATTAAAGTTTCCACGCTGCTGGGGCAGCTATAATGACTTTCCAGATGTGCTGCCTCTCCCGGAGACCCAGCTGGGAGAACACGCTTGACCCCAGGGAGTTGCTAACAATTCAGAGGGCTGGGGATTCCCTGTTTAAAGCACTGGGCTCCCTCCTCTGCCTGGTTCTTGGAGGGGAGGAGTGTTGCAGTGGCCCCACAGGGCACTGGCTTGCCCAGGGTAGGGCATGCTTTCCTGCTTGCCTGTTTGCATGGGGCATTGTGCCATGGTAGGAAGTTCAGTATGCACTGTGCTCCTTTCTAGTGGCTGTGCCCCACACTGGGCAGGGCAGCTTGCACTTGGCTGGTGGTCCCTCTTCCCATGTGGACACTGCAGGGGCCCATGCTGGCTCCGTCTGCCCCTTTGGCAGTGAGATTTGCTATCCATCACTGCCACTCATAGGTCTCCAGAGGCACCCTGCCACTGGGTGCTCAGCACTAGGCAAGTCCTTAACCTTCTCCTAAGCACTACAGGCAGTGATCTCTAGGCTAAGGAGTATCCAGTTTGGCCCACCACTTTATTGCTGCTAACACAAGGTCTTTTCTCCCTCATCCAGGTGCTGTTCCTATACGGGCTGCAGGGGAGTGGGTCCTCAGGCCAACTCGATCAGCAGTGTGACACATTTGGCATGGTAGTTCATGAGCTGGGATTTGTCATTGGCCTTCTGGCCTGAGTACACCAGCCTGTACCTGGACAACCACATGGCTGCCATCCAGGAGAATATACCAGGTAGGTAGTGGCCCTGTACTCCCCTTCTTCCACTTCTCTGCCTTCCTGTTTCCTTCCTTCTGTCTTCCCTCCCACCCCCACTTTGCTTTCAGTCTCTTGCCCTGTCCATGGATGAATCATCCAAACCTGCATCCCTGGGGAAAAAGCTCCTGACTTGTACTATGCCTAGATCTCTGTGCCCTCCCTGCCTGGCATTGCTACAGGGCTTTTGTCCATGCTGCCATCTCCTGCAGTTTCTGCAGGGCAGGAGCCCAACTGATTTGAAAAATGGATCCTGCAGAAGTGGAGTCACTCAGTGATCTATAAGACTTCAACAGTATCATGCACTGTGGCAGGGATGCCTTCTCCAGTCAGCTGCTGCTTATTTTCATTGCTCTCCCCTGGCTCCTGTAAATGCATTACAAAATGACATTCCCTGCCCCCCTGCTGCTTTCGCATCCCCCAGCAAAACATACAGTGGGTGCAAATTGAAAATTGGCAGTAAGTCCCAGATCCCTTCTATTTACCTGCTGCCTGGCCAACTATTCCCCATTTGACTTCTTTTGACACCCATCATTGCATACTACCAAGGCATGGCCTGGTGTGTCCTCTCTGCTTTGGGTTCGAGTTACTGCGTGGCGTGTTTCAGTGGGTACTGCTGCTAGCTCCCCCCCCCATGCTATCCAGGACATGCTCTTGGGTCTTGTTTTTATAACAATAGCACACGATAAGCCAAATCAAGTATGCCCAGCATTTGGAGAATCACTGGCTGCTTACAGGGGATGGGGTTGGGGGCACATCCCTCTGGCAGCATAACACTAGGTATAACAGAGCTGAAATCTGGTGGCCAAGAGCCTGAGTGTGGCTCTTTGAGTCTGTTAGCTCACTGCCTCCACGCAGTCTTGGCAGACTGAAGGAGAGCAGCAGGAGGCAGGCACCACTGATGCGAAGTAGCTATGCATACGCCTGACCTCTCCAGGGACATGCAGATGCCCACAGCTGGGCAGGAGCACACATGCCTTAGTCATGCTCTTTTTGGGGTAGGCTGTGGGGATGGGGCATGTGGCTAGGAGGAGTCAGTGGCAGAGCTGGGAGAACTTAGGTCTCCTGGGCTGCTGTCTGACCTTAAGTAAGTCACTTCACCTCTCCTGCCTGCCTTGTCTTACAAATGCAGGACTAGCAGTACCTGCTATCACGGGCCAGCACAGCACCGAGTCACTTCCACATGCTGACCCTGCCTCTTGTGAGGTTTGGCTCTTCCCTTGTGGTTCCTGCTTCCAGTAATGGATGCTGATGGTGCCTAGTGCAGCATTCTGGTAAGCAATACTAGTTCTAACATACAGCACCGCTGCTGACACAGACAGGACCATGCAAAGCCAGGCACCTGCGGTCCTAAGGTCTCCAAGGAGGAGGCTGTGCATAGCTGGGGATGACTTGCTTCCCTAGCCCTCTGTATGTGTGACACACACCCTCCCACACACACGCACAAAATCAAGCTGAACTTTTAGCTGCACTCAACCAGATGGATCAAGCCAGACTGGGTAACAGCAGTGAGAGAGGGCATCCAAGCAGGGTGGCTGGATGTGTGGACTGCTTGGACACTAGCAGCCTGGGAGTAGAGAGCTGAGCTCTGCCGGGTGCTCAGGCTGGGCCTGGCCCTTCCAGAGCCTGACAGAGGCCGTGTGCTTGGGGTAGAGGCCTGGCATCTCAGTCCTGTATACTTACCTGGGGCAGCTACCCCAGGGGAAACCAAGGCCAGCCCTGTGCAGAGCCCAGGGGAGCTGAGCAGGTAGTGTCCTCCCTGCCACTTAACCCCTTGCTCTACTTTTTGTTCCAGGGAGATTATCTTTGATACCATCCTGCCCAAATATGAAGTGAACGGGTTGTACCCCTCCATCAGCTATTGTGCTTGTCTGAGCAAAAGTGATACGAGTCCCAAGCCCAAATCTTCTGAAACCTGGGACCAAGACCCCCAGTAACAACGACATTCACTCGTGGGAATGAGAGGCTCATTGTGTCATCCCTGAGCTGTGGCACTGCTTTCCCATGGCTATATAAAATGAGAACTCCCCAGCCCAGGAGCTCTAGCAGCAGAAGCCCTGTTCACCCAGAAAGCCAAGAAGGGTGTCTGTGGTGCAAGCTGTTGCCAGCTTCCCCCTGCTCCCATAGCAGCCAGGGCATGATCAATCCCGGATGACTTTCCTAAATGCAGGTCCTGCCAAGCCCTTAGCAGCTTTGCAGGATTGCTTCAGGGTGGGAAGTGTCAATGTATAGCACAGGCCCGTGGAGAACAGAGACCCATCACGGACCAGTGTTGGAGACAAATATACACACCAGCCCAGGGGAGGGAGCTGCCACCCAGGTCTCCAGGTTGCTCGTTACCGCCAGGACCAGATTTGAACATTGGTGGAACTCCAACAATCAGCAAGGTGAATCCTGATTTTCCTCTGGCTTAGCCTGCGATCGGAGCCCAGCACTGTGAGCCGAAAGGTGGTAGAGCAACGAGTCAAGGGGTCTGGGTTGTATTTCTGCTTCTGTTGCTGACTGGCTGGTTCCTGGGGGCACATTGTGTATTCAAACACCAACGTGTGATGCACAAGATAAATGCAGAGATTTCCAATTGGAATCTAAAATGTCAAAGCCATTTAGACCTGCTGGGGTCTTTCTGAGCAGTGTGCAACAGAAGAATGGCTCAAATGTATTTCTGCAGTCAAGTAATGGATGACAGTGGAGCACTGGCATTTTCCAAGGGGGGCCTCGAGTTTAACATGGCTGAGACCCACTGGATGAACCTGTTGGGTCCTCAGGCTGAAGGTGCTAGAGGTAGGGAAGGCACATTCACTCCTCTTGTATGGGGGGAGCTGGGGCTCAGCTGGGTGTGGGCAAGGAGCAGTGAGTTGGCTTGGCTTTTGTTGCTGGGTTCTTAACCCTTTCCCTTCCCTGCCCCTGTTGCAAGAGTGCAGAGAGATCCTGCAAGACCGTCACGGCCACTTCTCCAGCCTGTACTTTCCTGACAGGTGTTCTGCATACATGTACTGTCTGGAGGATATTCATAGATTCATAGATGCTAGGGTCGGAAGGGACCTCAATAGATCATCAAGTCCGACCCCCTGCATAGGCAGG